CACACATCTGGGCAAGCCAACGCCATAATGAATATTGCGGTTGAACTCAGAGCTTTTGTAGGGAAAAAAATAGCACCCACATTGCCTTGAATCAGTGTGTCTTGAATAATATCACAGCTGTTTGCGGTTACCAAACAAGTTAAACCCATAAAGCAGATCTGGGCCTTTTACAGCCCCTGGGCCACATCCGGCTGTCCCTGTCCAACCCACGCATGAGGTCAATTGGAAATTAGAAATCAAATGTAAATAAGCATGCTGCAGTGGGCAGGAGAAGATGCTGAGTCAGGTCTGGCTCTGTGCAGTCAGTCACCCTGCGTGCCTTCAGTCAGCTGGCAGCCGCGAGTGGGCGAGAAGAGAAAGTGCTTTTCTGCACCTGTGTAGTGCTCGACTCTCTCCTGGGGCAGCCTGAGAAGACAGTGATGGCGGTCATTACACGAGGGAACCCAAGACTCAACAATCCATTGCCGCCTCTGTCGAAGCATGGCCTTGTGGACGAACAAGTGGAACGCAGCCGGAAGCTATTGGTCTGGTCCTCTACAACAATCCCAGTTTCTCCTGTGGCCCCTTGGGAAAATTAATTGTCCACCCCTCCCATAAAGCATGGTTTAGGTGACACACAATAGCTCACTTAGCCATCCTTTATTATGTACAAGTCAGACTCACCAGCTGTGTGGGAAAATCTGCATGCTGTTAACCTGATCTTTGAATCATGTCTTGAAACAGCAGTTGGGGAATTTTAGCGTTTTGTTTCTTTTCTTTTTTTTGTTTGTTATTATTTTGAAAGCGATAAAAAAAATACAGTCTCTTCCAGATGTCTCCCTCTTTTTTTCTTATGGGAATCTACTCAAGAATGTCAGGTGGAGGAGAATCCAGGGACTAAGGCTGCATAAAGTTGTAGGTCAAAAGGGTGATTGATAAATGAGTGGAAAATCAGGTGCGGCAGATGGACAGTTTGAAATCGCATCAAAGCTCAGCTTTAACTAACCACCGTTTCTCCTCTTCCACACCCAGGGACCATGGAGACTTCTTGCAACTTCCTTCGGCACAAAATGTACGATCAACACCTATCCTCCTGCACTTATTGGTGGTGGAAAGAATGTTCTGCCCTGCTCTCAAGGATTGTGATCTCTGGCAATGGGAGGACATCTCCAGCTGTATAATCACTGGGATGGGGGGAAGGAAGATGTTATAAAAATGATGAATCTTCCCTCCCTAAGCCATAGCATAGCAGCAAAAACGGACAGCAAAAACAACTGGGGATTTCCAGGAGAGCAAGGATTTCTTCACCAAACACATCTGGAGGTTATTTTGGGGGAGTTCCTGAGCTACCTCAAATCCCACCATATTTGTGGGGTCCTTGGTGCTTTCTGGGCTTGGTGGTTTTCTTTCAGACATTTCATTACCAAACTAGGTGACATCACCCCACTGTTCAATGCTGGACCTACAAATATTCTCTTCTATGGATCCCACCACCCATGGAACTTGAGGACTTCCTAGCCTCTTCTCTGATTGGGCCTCTCTTTGTCTTATAAAGGAGCTGAATTACATCAAGAGAAGAAGACTGATGATCCAGATATGTTTGGAAAGAAACATGAACTGCGTTTTGGACGCAGAGATAGCACTTATTAAAATATCTATATGGAATCATAAAAAATAAGCTTCTTGGCCATGAGAAAAAAGAATCTAATGTGATAAATGTCTTCATACAGCCAACCCAAGTTGTGCAATCATTGAAAATTGCTGCTTTTCCTAGAACTCTTCATCAGGTTACATACATCTGAATGACTCTTCCAGATAAACAGTTCTGAGAAAGGCATGAGTTTAGGATTGTGTAACTTCAGCTGGCCTAATTGATTACTGCAAAAACCTTTCAGGGAGGTGTATATGTGTATCAAGGTTTGACACACACACCAAACACAGAAATATCATTGGACTATCTTACAGTCGGCGTAAATTGACCATATCTGTCTGGCTTTGTATAACACACTAAAATGAAAGCTGTATTTGTAAAACCCTGTTACCTGGATTCACGCATCACAGCAAGCCATAATCCCGCAAGAGCAGTGGTTCTCAACCTTTTTAATGCCGTGACCCCCAACCGGTCATAAGTCGAGGACTACTCAACCAGTCGTAAGTCAAGGACTACTCAACTGGTGCAGCACCATTTGCACAATGGGACTTTTGGCGGGCTCAGCAGGGCAGAGACAGCCTGGACAATTCCTATTGGCTTTTGAAAGCCAATAGAATTAGACTCTATTCAAGAGAGTCTATTCTATTGGCTTTCAAAAGCCAATAGAATAAAAGGTAGTAGCACAGCTAAGGAAAAGGGGAAAAAAATGGCGGACTGCGTTGTTTGGCGACCCCCGTGAAATGGTCGTTTGACCCCAAATGGGGTCCCGACCCACAGGTTGAGAACCACTGCACAAGAGCAATATGTGAATCCAGTCAGGGGTTTATGAGCTACAGAGAGAATGATATTGGTATACATTTGTGTGAATGGAAATTTTAATCCACTTTAGCACAGGAAGCATGATACTTGGAAAGGGTTGGTAGGATAGTAACCTTTTGCGCTTCTAAGATACCTGTAAGGACTATCTAAGATACTAAGATATTTAAGGAGATTCAGAATTGAAAAATGGAAAAATATGGCCAGAAACAGTAGCAAATTCAAATTCGCTCCAACATGAGGTGATTTCTCCAAGCTAAAAACAAAAATCCATTTCTACCAAGGTCTGGCTGACAGTAATCCAATAGATATCTTTGTACAGCACACTAAATTGTAATAAGGAGACCACCAATGTTGGGAATCCGCCCTTTTTTATGCCATGGGGAACAGATCCAGAGTTTTTGCTTTTAACCCAACACTGCAACATCCAAATTTAGAAAACAATCATTTATACTTGAAACCCAGGCGATATTGCACCAATTTTGCATTTGGGAAAATATTATACAAACTTTTTCCCTCTGCTTCCAAGAATGTTAGAGTCTAGGATCACAGACCACTGCTAAAGAGATGAATATCCAGAAGTGATTACCAAAAATAAAAAAGACAGATTTTGGAATCTGTCCATAAGTCAATAAAAGGAAGCCATATTAGCTAGGAATGACCAGCAATTTGGAAGATTTTTAAAGAGGGTTCAACAACTTCATGGAATAGTCATATGGGGCTGCGATGGCTTAGCGGTTAAAGACACTGAGCTTGTCAGCTGAAAAGCTGACAGCCCAGGTTCAAGACCCGAGCATCACACAATGGGTTGAACTCTCATTCCCATTCCCAGCTCCTGCCCACCTAGAAGTTGAAAAGCATGCAACTGCAAGTACATAAATAGGTACCACTTTGGTGGGAAGGTAACAGCGTTCCGTGCACCTCAGTGCATAGTCATGCTGGCCACATGACCACAGAAGTGTCTTCAGACAACGCTGGTTCTCTTGGCTAAGAAACAGAGATGAGGCTAGATTCGGACACGACCGGACAGGGAAACCTATCCCTCAATCTGAGTTGCCAGAAAGAATGAAAGTGAGATCTGTGGGCAGTTGTGTCCCGTTTGTGGATCTCCCAGAGTTGGGAGTCTGAGGCTCATCATGGCTCCTGTATACACCAAAAAGCTACATTTCCCCCCTTATCTCTGAAATAGACCAATGGGGGCCATTAGAACATCTCAGTGCTACTCCAAACATTTCAGCCCACCCACCAAGCAGCAATGAGCCATAAGTGCTGCCAACAGAGGAAGAAGCGATCATCGCAGTAACAGGAAGAATTGTGACCTGCATTAAAGTTGACTTCCCAGACACTTATAAATCATGCACTACTTCCTATGTACAGATTAATCAACCTTATTCTTTTCCCCTGCTCACTGGCGGCCTTTGCTGGAATCTCTATGGATGGACTGCAGGCCTTCCATGGGAAGGTCTAAAGAGTTGGCTGGATCCAGCCTTTCTCCTTCAGCTGTTCTTCTTCACAGCTCTGGCCTTAATGTTCCAGGCAAAATACTAAGGGTGTGTTTGTTTTCTTCAAGGCCAAAACGATGCTGAAGGCTGTTCCACTTCATCAAAATAAGAAGGACCCCATTTACCCTTTTAAGATTATTGGAACTTCACTTCCTTCTCTCCAGGACACGGCATCTAAGCGATGCTTGAGCAGGGTCTGCAGGATTGTCTGGGATGCTACGCATCCTCTCCATGACCTTGTTACCTTCTGGGAGGAGGCTTCGTGGTATCCGAAGCAAAACACCTAGATTCAGTCACAGTTTTGTTCCATATAGTATCAACCTTGTGAACTCTCAGGTCTCTTTTTCCGCTATGTATTGAAAATGGACTGTGATTAATATATATTAAGAAGAAACTTCCTGACAGTGAGGACAATTAACCAGTGGAACAGCTTGCCTCCAGAAATCATGGGTGCTCCATCACTGGAGATTTTTAAGAAGAGGCTAGACAGTCACTCGTCTAAGATGGTAGAGGTTCTCCTGCTTGAGCAGGGGGCTGGAGTAGAAGACCTCCAAGGTCCCTTCCAGCCCTATTTTATTCCTATTCCTATTCCTATTCTATTCTATTCTATTCTATTCTACTCCATTCCATTCCATTCCATTCCATTCCATTATTTCTCTATTCTATTCTATTCTATTCTATTCTATTCTATTCTATTCTATTCTATTCTATTCTATTCTATTCTATTCTATTCTATTCTATTCTATTCCATTCTTTTTCTATTCTATTCTATTCTATTCTATTCTATTCTATTCTATTCTATTCTATTCTATTCTATTCTATTTCTATTTCTATTTCTATTTCTATTTCTATTCTATTCCATTCATGTGTGTGTGTATATATGTATGTATATATACACACATATATAGTATATGTATATGTGTGTGCATGCATGTGTATGGTTATATATTTATTTTCTTTTGAGAGTGGGCATCAGAATTTCATTTTTTAATGTGTGCAAGTGTGTTCACAGAAAAAAGTGACATTAATAGGGTTATCTCATCTCATCTTACCCGCGCCCCTTTCTCCGGAAAGCACTTGCAGCCAGCTGTACAATCGCGACCCCCACAAATTCCATGATAAAATTTCTTCCCGCCCTGTAAAAACAAAGGAAAACAAGAACAAACGTTAGCAGCTTGGCACCTTTAATCCTAATTCATCTTCCTCTGAAAACATTCATTTGATGACCATTTGGACAAGTTCTATTCAGTTGCAAAATCTGGCTTGTTCTACACTGGACACCCAATCTCAGCTTGTGATAAAGCAAAAAATAGATCTGGCCTCTTCTCCTCACTGGAAAAGCCAGAGTTGTGGGCTTCCATTTGTCAAAAATGAGTCAATGCAATATAATACCATTTATTCAAACTCAATCAATATAAATCGCACAGCATCTCCCAAAACCTCCTAGTGATTTTGCAAAAAAAGATGCAGAAAAACACCATTACCTAGGCCCCTGAATCCTAAAACATTAAAATCCAAAATAATCAATTATAAAATGGTAAAATATTGGAAACAGCAATAGCAGACTTATATACTGCTTCATAGTGTTTTGCAACCCTCTTCAAGTGGTTTACAGAGTCAGCATATTTGCCTCCAACAATCTGGATCGTCATTTAACTGACCTCAGAAGGACAGCAGGCTGAGTCAACCTTGAGCCAATAAGGATCAAACTGCTGGCAGTGGGCAGAGTCAGCCTGCAATACTGCATTCTAACCACTGTGCCACCAAAGCTCATGCACATAACTAACTTTGGGCACATAAGTGATATTTAGCATCACATTTGTTGTTGTTGTTAGTTGCGAAGTCGTGTCCAACCCATCGAAACCCCATGGACAATGTTCCTTCAGGCCTTCCTGTCCTCTACCATCTTCTGGAGTCCATTTAAGCTCCAGCCTACTGATTCAGTGACTCCATCCAGCCACCTCCTTCTCTGTCGTCCCCTTCTTCTATTGCCCTCCATTTTTCCCAGCATTAGGCTCTTCTCCAGTGAGTCCTTCCTTCTTATTCAGTGACCAAAGTACTTGAGTTTCAACTTCAGGATCTGGCCTTTTAAAGAGCAATCAGAGCTGATCTCCTTTAGGATTGACCGGTTTGATCGCCTTGCAGTCCAGGGGACTTGCAGGAGTCTTCTCCAGTGTCACATTGCGTGGATTTTATTCCTTTCTACCTGGTGCATTACAAGGAGAGCCACATATCTGACCCAATGCTAATATATTCTTTGGCCCTGTAGCACAGCCAGAATTGCATTTCTTTAATTGTTGCAGCAAGGGAGAATATATTAATCTAACTTAGATTTTGGATCTGGGACTCCAGCTATCTTTCTTCAGCTATCAACACCTCTCTCCAAAGATTGACTGGGTTTCTAAAATATTAGATAATCTCAAGCAGAGCAACTACTTTAAATCAACCATGTCTAAACTTAAGTCTGAGCATAGAATTCATTTTGAAAAATAAGGAAACGTGTCCTATAAAATACCACCTTCCTATGCCACTTCTAACTTTCTTCTGCTTTCCTTGTCCAAAAAGGTCAACTTGTGAATGAATGAAATTTGAGCAGGGAGGAAGTGAATAGGGTCAGTTGGCAAAACACCAGGTGTTGCCTGTCACACAAGCACTTTATTTACGGAAGACGCTCCTGTGGGCCCTGCTAAGTGACTGAAACAGCAGGTTAAAGCATGCAGTAATCAAAATCAGCTTTTGACTTTCTGGAAGGGAAATCCCACCATTTTTCTTTTTGGAATCAGTACAGCTTCATCAATTTAAAAAAATGGGCTCCTTTGACTTAGTTAGGAGTTAAGATCCCTGCTTAACACCCCAGCAACAAGATATGATAGAAATCAGAACAATACAGGATTTTCACCAAGGAGCAGGGCTTTTTTTTCTCATAACACGCCCAGAACGGAGTTCCGGCACCTCTTTTGGATGGAACCTTGTAGGGTAGGCAAGACGGGTTGTATGATGTATGTGAGTTCCAGCACTTTTTTTTTTTTTAAGAAAAAAAGCACTGACAAGAAGTATAACTGGACTCTAACTAGGATGCATTTTAGGACAAGTAAACCCACAAAGGAGAATAGCCAATAAAGGTAGTCCTTGACTTACGGCCATAACTGAAGCCCACATTTTTTTTATTAAAAGTTTTACAAATTTAATACATTATAACCCAAACCCCTCCCACCCCTTCCCCCCCTCCCCCACTTCCCAGAGCTGATTACAGGGCAAAAAATAAACAGACATAATCTAACTAACATAACCCACTATACTATCAATCAAATCCATAACACACTTTAACTCCTTTTCAAAACAAGTATTAACAAAATTAAAAACAAAAATAATAATATAATTAAACCATAATACTAAAAATAATATAAATTCAACCATATTGAACTGTTAAAAATAATCTAAAATCTACTCATAAGCAAGATAATACTTTTCAGTCTCATATTTCTTTTGAATATAATCAATCCATCTTCTCCAAACCGAAATATATTTTTCTTGTGAATGGTCCTTCAAATAGGCGGAGATTTTCGCCATTTCTGCTAAATTAGACACCTTAACTATCCATTCTTCCATAGTAGGCAAAGAGTTTTTCTTCCAATATTGCCCCACAAGTAATCTTGCAGCTGTTATAAGATTCAGCATCAAATCAATTTCTTTGACATCAAAATCTACAATAATACCCAGCAAAAATAATTGCGGAGTAAACTTTATCTTTCTCTTAAAAATCTTTTGAATCTTTTGAAGACCACATTTTTGTGAGACAGTTGCTAAAGTGACTTTTGCCCCATTTTTGCGATCTTTCTTGCCACAGATGTTAAGTGAACCACTGCAGTTGTTAAGTCACACAGGTGTTAAGTGAATCTGGCTTCTCCGTTGAATTTGCTTGCCATGACCCCAGGACACCGTGACGGTCGCAAAATTTGAATCAGCTGCCAGGTGTCCAAATTTTGATCATGTGACCACAGAGATGCGGCAATGGTCATTGTGTGAAAAAAGGGGCAAAAGTCACATTTTTTTCATTCCCGCTGTAATTTTGAATGGCCATTAAATGAATGGTTGTAAGTCAAGGACTACCCGTGTTGTCTTTTCTTTAATCAAACAAGTCAATTAAGCCATGTCTACAAATCCCATCATTTTCACCAATTGTTTCTCTGTGATGGGTAGAATATAGAATACAGAATAAAAGAGTTGGAAGGGAACTTGGAGGTCATCTAAAGCAACCCCTCACCCAAGCAGGAGACCCTAGACCAGAGGTCTTCAACCTTGGCCCTTTTATGACTTGAGGACTTCAACTCCCAGAATTCCTCAGCCAGCGTGACTGGCTGAGGAATTCTAGGAGTTGAAATCCACAAGTCATAAAAGGGCCACGTTTGAAGACTCCTGCCCTACACGATTTCTGACAGATGGAAGTCCAATCTCTTCTTGAAAGCTTCCAGTGATGAAAGGTAGTGTTGAGTCTTTCCAGTTTTGAGCATATAATCTCCCTGCAGTTGTCATATACTCTACAATGATTAATGCTTTGTAAAAGGGCTATTTGTACATCTTAGCTCTCCAGCAGCAAATCCCGCAATTGCTCCAAGCTACCTCCAAATCGAGCAAACTACAGTTACAAACATCAATTTGTTTGTCAAAAACAGATCATGCCAGACAAATCTTATTGCATTCTTTGACCAAGTGACAAAATTGGTGGACCAGAGGAATGTTGTGGATATAATTTAGTTGGACTTCAGTAAAGCATTTGATAGAGTAGATCACAACCTACTACTTGATAAGATAGAAAAATGTGGGTTAGACAGCATCACCACCAGATGGATTCATAGCTGGCTGAGTGGCCATACTCAGCATGTGGTCCTCAATGGAACTGCATCTACATGGAAGGAAGTGTGTAGTGGGGTGCCCCAGGGCTCTGTTCTAGGTCCAGTGCTCTTTAACATCTTCATCAATGATTTGGATGAGGGGATAGACGGGGAAATCATCAAATTTGCAGATGACACCAAGTTGGCAGGAATAGCCAATACTCCTGAAGACAGGCTTAAGATACAGGAGGATCTGGACAGACTTGAACACTGGGCACTATCTAACAAAATGAATTTCAATGGTGAAAAAAGTAAGGTTCTACATTTAGGCAAGAAAAACCAAATGTACAGGTATAGTATAGGTAGAACCTTGCTCAATAGTAGTAACTGTGAGAGGGACCTCAGCATCCTAGTGGACAATCATTTAAATATGAGCCAGCAGTGTGCTGCAGCTGCCAAAAAGGCCAACACAGTGCTAGGCTGCATTAACAGAGGGATAGAATCAAGATCACGTGAAGTGTTAATACCACTTTACAAGGCCTTGGTAAGGCCACACTTGGAATACTGCATCCAGTTTTGGTCACCACAATATAAAAAAGATGTTGAGACCCTAGAAAGAGTGCAGAGAAGAGCAACAAAGATGATTAGGGGACTGGAGGCTAAAGCATATAAGGAACGGTTGCTGGAATTGGGTATGTCTAGTTTAATGAAGAGAAGGACGAGGGGGGACATGATAGCAGCCTTCCAGTATCACAGGGGCTGCCCCAAAGAAGAGGGAATCAAGCTATTCTCCAAAGCGCCTGAAGGCAGGACGAGAAGCAACCGATGGAGACTAACCAAGGAGAGAAGCAACCTAGAACTAAGGGGAAACTTCCTGACAGTTAGAACAATTAACCAGTGGAACAACCTGCTTCCAGAAGCGGTGAATGCTCCAACGCTGGAAGTTTTTATGAAGAGACTGGACAGCCATTTGTCTGAAATGGTATAGGGTTTCCTGCCTGAGCAGGGAGTTGGACTAGATGACCTCCAAGGTCCTTCCAACTTTATTATTATTATTATAGTATCTACTTAGAAGCCAAAGTACTAATTGAGACATCGTAACAGCCATTGCCCAAGTCATTTTGCCAGTTCCCTTGGTGAGAAAGCTGCAGATCAGTGCAACTTTTTTTTTTAAATTTATCCTTAGAAAAGGGTGAATAACTAGAGATTCCAAAAATGCTAGGCCTGGGTCAAAGCTATTAGATTTCATACAAAGACTCAGGTTATGCAACAGGAGGCTTAGAGGATTAGAGAATATTGCATTT